GAGTCTGGTTTTGAAGCTTTGAAGAAAATTAGAGGCAAAATTAGATAACTTCTGATCCACACGTACAGTGTTTATACGTGTCCGATACTTGTTTTGATTCCCAGAAGACCAGAAAAAAGGGAATGCGAAATCGAAATTAGACAGCTACTTTTCTTAAACGAAGTCATAGTCAAATTGATATAATTTAATTATCAATGCTGGTCGCATTTTCTGTATTTTCAGCTCAAAGCCAAAAATATTTGCCCCCAACTAGCTTGTTAATTGGTCTTCACTCAAATTACATTGCTAAATACTCGGTCAAATTGAAACCTGGGGATGAACCGAGAATTACATCACAAAATACTCGATCAAATTGAAATCTGAAAGTGATTAGTAAAACAACGAGAAGCACAGTGGTGTACTCAGGGTTTTTTATGGCGTTTGCAGTATTTTTTTTTTGCAAAGCTGTGTCTTTCGTTTTATAGTTCAGGGGTGGGTTAGTTTTTTTGGTGCAAAGTTGCTTACAAAATTTGTTTATATTATTGCCGGCAATAAGAGTGATGTAGAATAAAGTATAAATGCAACCGGAAAAAATATCCTTTGAAAAAATATAACGACCGGAATTGAATGAAGGGGTGGTCTCACTGTGTTATTAGGGGTTATCAAATTATGATACCATCAACAAAAGTTGGAATATCCGATGGACTTCAATTTGAGAATTCGGTCAGGCAAAAATTTTTTATCTCAAATAAATAGTGCAGAAAAAATTGCACTGGGTTCAGTTTTCTTGGATCAAAGCGTCAAAACATAATGCAAATGAGTTGTTTCTTAACCAGATCATTCAGCTTTTAGTTTTTGTATCATGCAAAATTCAACTACGTGAAGATCGTGTTCATTCACACATAAAAACGCTTTGTTCATGTTTTTTCCTCACAGTTTGAACTGCAATCTGCATAAATGAAATAACCACTTTTACCACAATCGTTTGTTGAAAAAATTCTTATTAAAAATTAACAAACTCTGGAAGCTCAACTCCGGAACACAATTTAAGTAGAATAAGACAAAAAAAACACCATTACAATTTTACAAAATATTTTAAAAGCAGCTTTGTGTATGATTTTTAATACCTGTTGTATTCAATATATTCGGAAATTATAATGTTTTCTTGAAAAATAGGTTTATTTGCCTAATTTTTGCAAAGCTTAATGATGTGTTTTGAGTTAGTTCTTACATATTCAGTTCTAATATATATTTTTTGAATTTATATAGAAAATTAATATTTAGTACTGATTTTCAAAAGAAATGAGGTTTTCATTAACCAGAATACTTTATATAGTCGCAGTTTCACCTATCAACCCTGCTTTTTTTCAATAAAATTCGAAAACTTTCCTTCGTGCAAAATTATAGAAAGCAAAATGACCATAGTCGAAATCATCGTCGAGAAGATCAAGAGAAGATAGAAAAAACGGAACCATTTGTTAAGCCTCAAATCATCAACAGTCAATCAGTGAGTTTTTCTAGAATATTTGAGCTGCCATATGGTGTTAAGATAACAAGAACAGCTTTGAAAAATCCTGGGAATTATCGCAGTGTCCGATTTCGAGAATGAGTTAGCCATGATAAGCCCGAAAATCAAATTATTTAGAAGTTCCAAAAGAATAGCAAATATCCAAGGTCAAATTTTGGGTTCTAGAAAAGCGACTGGCGAAGTTTTGGTTTTCATGGACAGTCATGTTGAAGTCGGTATAAATTGGTTACCACCTCTTTTAGATCCAATTGCTTTGAATTTTCGCGCAGTTGTTCAACCTACACATGAAATTATAAGCGAGCACAATTTTGGGTATCGACCGGTTGACAATAATGACCTTCAAAGAGGCTCTTTCGACTGGTTCATGACTTATAAAAGGATTCCAATTCCTGAAATTGAAGCAGCTAAGAGAAAGAGTCAGTCTGATGTTTTCTTCACACCTGTTTTGTTTGGAGGTGTGTTTGCCATTCATGCTGATTGGTGGAAAAAATTAAAAGGATTCGATCCTTTTCTCGACATTTGGAGTGGAGAGCAGTTTGAAATGTCATTCAAGGTTAGCTAATAGATGCTACTGAAAACTCATTATAAAATATAAATGAAAAGAAAAAATAAATATATAGATTGTGAGTTTCAGATATTTTTATTCAAAATGAAGTCAAATTTATTTGAAGGTTTTGGGCTGAGGCTAGGATATTTTGACCCAACCTAGAAAATGGACAGAATTGTACGTATTAATGATTTTTTTTTGCAATTTTCAAGAGGTAAAAGCAGAATTATCGTATTTTTAAAAAAAAAACTTTTGTATAATTTTTTTTGTAAAATTGATTGTTTGTCAGCCAAAAATAACTCTTATAAACACCAAAAAATCTATGCTTATGCTCAGTGGCCAGCTACTTGTATTTTCTAGTATAATTATTATTGAAAGCCCAAACGAACTATCCAGTACTGACAAACTTGAGATTAAATTTGATTTTTATAGATTTTAAAATAGATAAAATACTGTATATGAATTGATTAACGATAGGCATTTTAAGTACGTAAATCAATTTGAAATGGATGAAATTGATTTTTACTATCTTTTTTTCAAAATATTTTTCATATATCTTTTTCACTATTTCAGTCATCAAATAACATATTATAACACTAAAAAGTACAATTTAGAAAAGCTCATTTTGATGAGAATTATTTTGAAGATATCCGGATTAATGTCTTGCTGCGAAGGGATATTTCACTGATGGCTTCAAAATTTAATAAAAGCCCAATTTTACAAAGTCAGCAGTGAAAATACGTCAATTTAAAGTTGTTAATTTTCAAATTGACCTTCAGAAAACCTGCTAAATTGTCATAAATCGATTGAAGTTAGGCGTAATTTTTTATGGTTACAAAATTGACGTTGCATACTTTCAACTAGAACAAATTGGAGTCTGGTTTTGAAGCTTTGAAGAAAATTAGAGGCAAAATTAGATAACTTCTGATCCACACGTACAGTGTTTATACGTGTCCGATACTTGTTTTGATTCCCAGAAGACCAGAAAAAAGGGAATGCGAAATCGAAATTAGACAGCTACTTTTCTTAAACGAAGTCATAGTCAAATTGATATAATTTAATTATCAATGCTGGTCGCATTTTCTGTATTTTCAGCTCAAAGCCAAAAATATTTGCCCCCAACTAGCTTGTTAATTGGTCTTCACTCAAATTACATTGCTAAATACTCGGTCAAATTGAAACCTGGGGATGAACCGAGAATTACATCACAAAATACTCGATCAAATTGAAATCTGAAAGTGATTAGTAAAACAACGAGAAGCACAGTGTGTACTCAGGGTTTTTTATGGCGTTTGCAGTATTTTTTTTTGCAAAGCTGTGTCTTTTGTTTTATAGTTCAGGGGTGGGTTAGTTTTTTTGGTGCAAAGTTGCTTACAAAATTTGTTTATATTATTGCCGGCAATAAGAGTGATGTAGAATAAAGTATAAATGCAACCGGAAAAATATCCTTTGAAAAAATATAACGACCGGAATTGAACGAAGGGGTGGTCTCACTGTGTTATCAGGGGTTATCAAATTATGATACCATCAACAAAAGTTGGAGTTTCCGATGGACTTCAATTTGAGAATTCGGTCAGGCAAAAATTTTTTATCTCAAATAAATAGTGCAGAAAAAATTGCACTGGGTTCAGTTTTCTTGGATCAAAGCGTCAAAACATAATGCAAATGAGTTGTTTCTTAACCAGATCATTCAGCTTTTAGTTTTTGTATCATGCAAAATTCAACTACGTGAAGATCGTGTTCATTCACACATAAAAACGCTTTGTTCATGTTTTTTCCTCACAGTTTGAACTGCAATCTGCATAAATGAAATAACCACTTTTACCACAATCGTTTGTTGAAAAAATTTTTATTAAAAATTAACAAACTCTGGAAGCTCAACTCCGGAACACAATTTAAGTAGAATAAGACAAAAAAAACACCATTACAATTTTACAAAATATTTTAAAAGCAGCTTTGTGTATGATTTTTAATACCTGTTGTATTCAATATATTCGGAAATTATAATGTTTTCTTGAAAAATAGGTTTATTTGCCTAATTTTTGCAAAACTTAATGATGTGTTTTGAGTTAGTTCTTACATATTCAGTTCTAATATATATTTTTTGAATTTATATAGAAAATTAATATTTAGTACTGATTTTCAAAAGAAATGAGGTTTTCATTAACCAGAATACTTTATATAGTCGCAGTTTCACCTATCAACCCTGCTTTTTTTCAATAAAATTCGAAAACTTTCCTTCGTGCAAAATTATAGAAAGCAAAATGGCCATAGTCGAAATCATCGTCGAGAAGATCAAGAGAAGATAGAAAAAACGGAACCATTTGTTAAGCCTCAAATCATCAACAGTCAATCAGTGAGTTTTTCTAGAATATTTGAGCTGCCATATGGTGTTAAGATAACAAGAACAGCTTTGAAAAATCCTGGGAATTATCGCAGTTGGGAAAACGTCCAGAAAAATCTGGAACCTTTAAGAGAAAAAAAACCGGGTGAGAATGGGGAAAAAGTTGACCTCAACTCCGAAGAAGAACTTCTCAACCAGCAAACTTCTGGTAAGTTTGGGTACTCGAAAGTCAGAAGTGATAAGATTGCACTTGGCCGGACTATTCCAGACACACGACCGTCTTCATGTAAAACGAAACAATATCACGAAAGTTTACCTCAGGCATCGATTATTATTACTTTTCACAACGAGGCAAAATCAGTACTTTTGAGGACAGCGACAAGTTTTGTAAACCGATCGCCAGAAAAGCTTCTGAAGGAAATGATTTTTGTCGACGACCTAAGTGATTACCCGGAAATAAATAGGTCCGATTTCGAGAATGAGTTAGCCATGATAAGCCCGAAAATCAAATTATTTAGAAGTTCCAAAAGAATAGCAAATATCCAAGGTCAAATTTTGGGTTCTAGAAAAGCGACTGGCGAAGTTTTGGTTTTCATGGACAGTCATGTTGAAGTCGGTATAAATTGGTTACCACCTCTTTTAGATCCAATTGCTTTGAATTTTCGCGCAGTTGTTCAACCTACACATGAAATTATAAGCGAGCACAATTTTGGGTATCGACCAGTTGACAATAATGACCTTCAAAGAGGCTCTTTCGACTGGTTCATGACTTATAAAAAGATTCCAATTCCTGAAATTGAAGCAGCTAAGAGAAAGAGTCAGTCTGATGTTTTCTTCACACCTGTTTTGTTTGGAGGTGTGTTTGCCATTCATGCTGATTGGTGGAAAAAATTAAAAGGATTCGATCCTTTTCTCGACATTTGGAGTGGAGAGCAGTTTGAAATGTCATTCAAGGTTAGCTAATAGATGCTACTGAAAACACATTATAAAATATAAATGAAAAGAAAAAATAGATATATAGATTGTGAGTTTCAGATATTTTTATTCAAAATGAAGTCAAATTTATTTGAAGGTTTTGGGCTGAGGCTAAGATATTTTGACCCAACCTAGAAAATGGACGGAATTGTACGTATTATTGATTTTTTTTTGCAATTTTCAAGAGGTAAAAGCAGAATTATCGTATTTTAAAAAAAAAAAACTTTTGTATATTTTTTTTTGTAAAATTGATTGTTTGTCAGCCAAAAATAACTCTTATAAACACCAAAAAGTCTATGCTTATGCTCAGTGGCCAGCTACTTGTATTTTCTAGTATAATTATTATTGAAAGCCCAAACGAACTATCCAATACTGACAAACTTGAGATTAAATTTGATTTTTATAGATTTTAAAATAGATAAAATACTGTATATGAATTGATTAACGATAGGCATTTTAAGTACGTAAATCAATTTGAAATGGATGAAATTGATTTTTACTATCTTTTTTTCAAAATATTTTTCATATATCTTTTTCACTATTTCAGTCATCAAATCAATCACTATTTCACTGTTTCATAGTCACAAGGTACGTTTGTTTTGGGTTTTGATCATTTTACCCAACGAAATCTTTTTTTTTTATATAAAAAAAAATTTTTAGACAAAATGCATTCTTCACAATTTTTGTCTCTCATTGCACAACGGCAGAAAATTAAATTTCAGCAACCCAAAAATTTTCAAGAGTTTTCTGAGAAATTTTTTTGACAAGTTTGTTTGAATTACACTATTTGAAAAAGGGTGACATCTCAAATTAGTGAAAAATCAAAGTTTTTTTGTCGTTTTTACTTAAAAACCCTGTTTAACAAAACGGTTGATCCCGATTATGTTTGAGCATCGAGTTATCAAATTTGATTGGATATCCTAAGCTTAGCTCATCATTATTTGTGAGAAGCCGCGACGTAAAATATCTTCAAACTCGCTTTTTAAAAATTTAAATGATCAAAAAAACTCAAACCTGAAAATTCAAGCGGTTCATGGGTTGTTTTTCCAAATGTTAATAGTTGTTCATGTTCATAATTGATTTTTTTTCGTGGTTTTAGTTCTGAGACAATTTTCAATTTGTTAACCTAGCCACTTTTAAAAAAGTGTTTTCAGGTTATCTTGACATCAGAGCTGAAACTTAAAACACCATTGCACCACTGACCCTTTTTCGTTAAATTATGGGTTTTGAAAAGGGCTCATTTGACCAGTTATGACAAAAAGTTTGTGATATACTCATAGCTATTAATGCGGTAGAGATTATTCAATCAGGTTCAAAAATCTTCCAAATAAACAACTAGATGCCTTTTTGGTCCTACTATTAAAAAATTTTCAGCTAAATGCATAACTATTCACTTTATTTAACTTTCAGAGGAAAAAGAACAAAAAATGAGAAGACAAAAATGAAACATTCGATAATTTTTGAGGTGTCGCCCGGATATTAGCAGTCTTTTTTGTTTGAGCCGTTATTGAGTTTATCTGTGCTCCCGCGCCGAACGCTCATAGATCATAATCGATTATTTTGTCGGTATCTACAAAATTACAAAATAATCGACTATAATCCATTAAAAATGAGCCATTATAATCGTTTGTAAACCATATAAACTGAACTATATTCTTACGAATTTTTATGCCAACATAAATCATTATAATAGATTCTAATCGAATCTAATGGAGTTCGTGAAATTTACATTTTTTTTCAAAGTTATCTCATTTCCTGTTTACTGCAGTTGCTACATGTTACGTTTCATAATTTTTTACATTTCAAGAAGAAGTTTATTTTTTTTTTGGATTATAATGGATTATTTTTGTCTCGGGAATCCATTATAATTGATTAGATTCAATGGTGCTCAGTTCAAATTATGATATGGTTCAAATTGCGAGAATTTCAATGTCAGCTTGCATATTCGCTTGAGCAAAATTGTGTTGTTATCAAGCCCAGGTTTAACAGATAGAGCCTGCTTACAAAGCTGTGGCCTGGATTTTTTCTGGGCTTTTATTTGGTTTTTATAACCATTTTTGACTCGTTTGTTTGATAGGTTTAATCGGACAGTTTTTTTTTCAAAAGTAGGCTTTATGTGCAGCCTATACTTCATTATTTGGAAAGTTGAGATTGTTATCCGCTGTTAAGTCTTCTGGGTTGAATGTTTTGCGAGTGGTTTCAGTATCTGAACAATTAACTGCGTATCCACTATAAAAAAGTTTAAATCCAATCGCGCTTAACCCTTGGTTAGTGAAATCGTTGTTTACCTTTTGATTGTGAAAGACAAACAAAAGTCTTTAATCGATTACATCATTTGATTCAAGCGGTGGGAGATTTGAATAACAGTTCTTGCGACCTGTTTCCCTTTTCTTAGGGAGTGCAAAAGTTAGCGATAATTAAACTAAATATACTAAAATGGAAACCAGGCATAAGACTCCTTCAAAGATTGTAAAAGAAAAATCATTGGATTTCACAGCACAAATGATAACCGATAATTATATCAACTATTTAGCTTTCAAAAATCCAAAAACAAGAAAACAACGGTTTCATTAATAAGAGAAAAAATTGATGGAGTCGAATAAGGCGCGGATCTATGATTTTCTCAAAAAATTGATTTTTGTTAGCCAATTTTTAGGTACAATCTTAAGCCTCCATTTATATTTTAAGCTCTCCCATAACAATATAAAGATCGTATTTTGAGAAAAATGTTTGTGCCACTTTTAGGCACCTTTTGACCAAAAGATCGGTTTTGACCAAAAGATCGTGTTTTTGGGGTCGCAATCCCCCTCAAAATTAATATACATTAGTTCTTAACACCACGGCGCCTTTCAAAAATTGTAAGGGTTGGTCAGCTTAAATGGATTTCGTACAATAGTATCCAAGGGGTGGACCTTTTAGTGAGTGCGAGGGTCAAATCCCTGATCTCTAAATCCGCCACTGATTCGCATGCCTGCTATGTCCAGGTGGTGTTATTTGGACTATACTCTTCTGCTCTCACTCTCCTACTGTCCTGTTTGATCCTCAATTCTTACCAAGTTCTTAATTCTTAGACATGGATGTGTGGGGGTGAAGTGATAGAGACGCCCTGTAGTCGGGTGGCGAGAGTGCACAGGGGCTCAATGAATGTTCCTTACTCCCCCCGAGCGGCGATTGAGAGAAGCATGAGCAACATGCCCAGAGTGGCCAATGTGTGGATGGACGAGTACAAGGAGTTCTTCTTCTACAGGAAACCTGACCGGAGATTCGCCAGACTCATGACCGGTTAGAACTTCTTAAAATCATTTTTCCTAAGTATTTTTGATGCTCTTAAAATATGTGAAGTAAAAACATTAACTGCTTAGAAAAACTTTTAAAATCTTAATGTAAAGAAAAACAATATTAAAGAATTTTAAAATATGTTGGATTTGATTAAAAAACATTCAACTGAGACTACTAATTTTTTTTTTAATTCTGGCTGAATTGTTTTCGGATTGAATTCTGACAATTTGTTTCAGGAATCGAGCAGAGATTTGAAATCAGACAAAAACTGCAGTGCCATTCTTTTGACTGGTTCATGAAAAATATCAATTTCAACCAACCCACTTATTATCCTGCTGTCGAGCCTCGTTCCCATGCTCACGGTCGAGCACGCTCACAGGAGCACATGATGAAGTGCATTAACAGATATGATAAGAAATTAATGCTCTCCAAATGCGAAGGTGCGCCTTCAATTTCACTCACATGGCGAAAGGAGTTCATATTCGACAAAGACTCTCAGGCGTGTCTAGACGTCGGCAGTATCTCGAAGCACGATCGCAAACCGATTCCGACGTTCGACTTTTGTCACAAAATGGGAGGCAACCAGTTTTGGAAATATGAATTAAAAACTCGGACTATAGAACAGAAAAGAATCAATCAATGTTTGGCTACTGACGGTGCTTTGATTTATTTGAAAAATTGTAATTTGACAGATGTTAGCCAACAGTGGGTTTTCGATGACTCTGATATGAGTCAATATCGAAAAGATTTATTCCCTTTTGAGAGAAGACAATAAACATGCTTAGAACACATTGGTGATGAGAAATAAAGTTTGCCATATTTAGTTTTTTTACCTTACTTAATCAAAATTCAACTTTGTCTGAATTGCCTTGAAATTTCAAAAAGCGGTAAAAAGAAATGCCACTAATTTACCTTATTTCATGAAGCTCAAACCAACCTTCGTGATACCACGCAAAGAAGTGTTCTAGTTGATGCGTTCTACGCTTAATTTAAGCAGTATAGGTTGAACTGATGAGCACAGACGGGTCATGAATGTGACCTAATCGCCTACCAAACGCTCAGTCTTTTAGTTTTGTTTTCTTATCCACCAAATTTCTCAATAAAAGACCAACCAAACCCAAAATTTCCATGAAAATTTCTAACCATTCATAATGTATCCCATTAAACTCTACATTGCAAGTAGCAATTTATCTAAGAAGACAGACCTCACGTCTCATTAGAATTGCTAGATCTCAATATTAACCTCGCAAAACATTAAGTTATGATTACAAAAAACTTAGGAGTAAACAGAAGTTGAACTAAGAAGTAGCTCAAACCTATATTCGAAATTAGATAGCATGATACACAGACTTTGTATTGGAACAAAAACTGTTCTAAGAGGGAAAAACCAAACCCATCGCAATGCGCCCGTTAACATCTCAGTAAACATATTTGTGTATAAAAAGATTTAAAAAGAATCAATTGAAAATTCTGTTTATGTTATAAACTTTTGGAGATACACGTGACGTTTTTTTGAAATTTTATTGAGAAATCAAAGAACGTTTTCTGAAATAAGTAGGAAAAAACTTAAGCACAAACTAATATGGGAAATGTTTAATAAGTTTAAAACTCATTTTGCTTGGAAAACTATTTTTTAAAGTCTGGAAACCAGCAAAAACAATCAAACCTAGAAAATTATCTGATTTTGTAAAGTATAAAATCTATACATATAATAGGAAAACAAGTTTTGTGGTGTGCTTTTGTCTGTGTCTTTTGTCTGTGACCTAACTGATCCAAGCATAATAACCATAAGTACATAAAAGTTTACCTGAGTGCTATTAACTATTTGTTTTTTTTTCTTCAAATTTTCGTCCGGATTCCCTAAGAAAGGGCAAAGAATGTAGAAGAGGAGCTACGAGAAATCAATATTTCTTATAGTTCGTTTCCATTGGATGTTTAGAATTGAGCAAGCGCTTTTTTTGATTTTTTCAATTTTCAAATACAGTTTTGAAACACGGAAACTGAGAGAAATATTGAACTTCAAATTATCAGTATTCTTTTTGAAACACGTCTTGCTTAAGTTTTTGCTTAACTGTTGATTAAGGTGTAGTTGACAATCAGTCACGGACGGTGCAACACGACAAATTCTGATTTGGTAGATTACAAGTCAACCAAAAACGAACATTATGCAACAGTACTAAAAATCTTTCTTCATCTCCCAAAGCTCGAAAACGTTTTTTTTAAAGAAAATTTCAGCAAAAAATAAATTTAGCTTGTGAGTTTAGTCATCGGGTCACAAATGACTATACTGCTAGTCATAAAAATAAAAAAATTTTGACTATTAACAAGTTTCAAAAAAAAATTCAAAAAGACAAAAACTGAAATTTTTGTTTTATTTTTTTTCTAGCATCATAATAGTTGGATAACTTTAGCATCAAAAAATTGCTGTCAGAAAGCATTGATTTAACATTGAATCTTTTAATCAAAATAGATTTATGAAACTAGAACTAATTCAAAACTGAACCACAAGTAGAACGCGGTTATCACGTTGAAATTACATTGCATGATGTATAAATTATGTTTTGGGACAAAAAATTGCTCTGTGGGAAAGAAAATTTTCGGGCTAATCTCACTACCTATCTTAAAAATCTCAACAGCATGTAATTTATGGGAAATATATCATCAATACAAACAAATAAAAGTTTGTTGTTTTTTCAAGATTTTGCTTTTACAACAAAACAACGCATTATGTGAAAAAAAAAAAACTAAAAATTGAAATAGGTTTTTTTTTCAAGTATAAAAATTGGTTATGTGAAATCTCAATAGTCCCAGCAAAAATTCTCTAGTGCTCTGAAATTACCTTAAATATGCAAACTTCGCCCTGATATAAAAATAACTTAAGAGATTAACTTTGCCTTCGGGATGCAAACTTTGAAAAAACTTTTGACGAAAAAGATACAAGAAAACAATGATATAAGTTTTTGACAGAATATTTAGTATTATTAGCTTTATAGATGGGTCCTTCTTTTTGCATTTTAAAGTTGTTGTTTAGTTATTTTGAACAAGATGGTTTTACACCAAAAAAGTTATTTTAGCCCTTTCTGCTTGAAATCTATGAAAAAGTATTAAGAAAGTATAATAAGAAATCATATTACAAAAGTTCCTGGAAAAAGTTTGAGTTAAACAGTTTTTAACTACGAACTCTCAAATTCTAAACGAGGAGGCGTGGTTAAAACTAGTTACAAGGTTAAAGCCATAAATTACGTTTTAGTTGTTGCAAAACTTCACTATATTCAGCATGAAAACTTTTTCACTATAAAATCCAACATTCAAAAAATATATATTTGCTAATGCAGTTTTACTATTCATTTGAAGTTTTCAGTTTTCTACCTCATCATTTCAATGATCTTTGCCAAGCTTTGAGGTGAAAATTTTCTGTTGTTCGCAAAAACTTCAGCGATAGAGTTTGTCTTTTTTTAAGATCTATTGTTTTTGACTTTTCACTTTATTTTGTTGGTTTTTCTTCTTTTTACAGTAAATAGATCAAAGCCGCAAAAAAAAATTTCAAAAACAGATTAGGGAATTTTTTTGAAAACAACAAAATTTTTTACCTCTGTTTAAATGAAAAGACATACAAATGATGGTTCTGACTAAATTTGCTGGACAAACTCGATTGGTAAATAAATGTGTGTTTTTTTAAAGATAACTCAAATTATGAAACTTTAATTTCACCTGAAAGTATATATAAACTACAAATTTTAAACTTTGAGGGTTTTTTTGCTCTAGCAATTTAGATGTTTAAATTGCCCAAGCATGTACTAGCGGAAAAATTGCTCAGTTTCTGTCCAGTCTCATTTACTAGTCGTAAATTGTTTCGTATCAAACGGGAATGAAATTTTGCGGGATGTTATTTACTGCATTTTTTTCAACTCATGCACCTCATCTGGTTTATTTCATTTTGTTTCATAATATTTCTTTTTTTCTTTTGATATTTTTGTGTGCAAAAAAAAATTATTCTAAGTCCAATGTTTTTGGAGCTAGTTTGGGCAGCTTCTCTTAGTTTTTCTTTTTATTGGACTTAATATCATTCTTACTGGCATATTTTTTGGTTGTAATGAATTTCCATTCAGAGTGACTGAATGAACCGTCATCTTTTTTTTTTTAAAATATCGTTGTTTCCAAAAATCTGCCAACATCACTGTCATTATTTGTAACAGTGAAATCGATTTCTTGGTCTCTGAAAAAAAAACAAATTTGAATTTTTCCGACTTACTTTTTTTGAACTATCGCTCGCTTTTTTCTAATTCAGTTTTCATAAAATTGCAATAAAAATGTTAATATTTTGCTCGCTCAGACTTTTTATAAACTATTTTTTGAAAACATCTTCGAAGGCCAAAACTTAATCCATTATTTCAGGGCAACATTTGACATTTCAGAAAAAAATATCTCGAAACGATGAGTTTTTATCCGATGTCTCTGGACATACATGTTTCATGATTATGATAATATCTGCTAGCGAGGTCTCTCAGAAAAAAACGTATTCAGCAATTGCAGAAAAATAAAAAGAGATAATTTCGAACCAAGTTTTGTTTAATTTGGTAAAATCAAAGATGAGAGCCAGAACTGTAGTTCCCATCTTCTTGTCATTGGTTACTCCATCCTCAAATCTAATAGCCAAGAATTTTTAGAGAATGAATTATACCCTTTGACAACTTTTTACAACCGCAATTTTCAGTTATTTGCTGATCAATCTGAAACTATATTGAACACCGCAATTGCGCTTGCCAATCACAGTTTCGTTCAGTTTTTTCAAGATAGAAATCAATATAAATTTGAATCAATTCAAAAATTTCTGTTTTTGGTAATTACGGCAATCACTTTTCGGAGATGGTAGAAGGCATCCTACAAAATTCGGAAAACAAAAAAATAGCAAATAGAATTAATTGATTTTGGTTGATTTCGAAATAGAGACTGAGTTCTGCTTCAAATATCAAAATATCTTCATGTATTGTTCTTTTGTTTTCTTATGTCAGAATTTTGGTTTTCCTTGGTCAAAATTCTAAAAACTCCTAGGATAAGTTTTTGGACAATGTATCTGAAAACATTTTTTTAATTTTTCACAGGATTTCATTCTAATTGCTAAAGGTATTCTCGACCAAGCTGGACTATTATTTTAATTCTGATCTTTAAATTAGCACCCTTAGGGCCTTGCAAACAAAAAATTAAGTAACCCACTTTTAATCCTGGGTGAAAAAATGAATGGAATTTAAGTATCAATGGAAAAAATAACAAATAACAGCTAAGAGGCCTATTTATTTTTCCCACGAACAATCAATCTAAGGGTGGGGCCGGTCGAAGGCTTTACTTCTTAAATAAACAAACAATTTTGTGTTTTTATCCCATTTAACTCAAATCGGAATTAATTAGCTGAAAACAATCAGTCGAATCATTTCATAATACTGATACTTTCTGAACAGTTGAGCTAAAAACTCAAAGATGTATTTTCTTTCAAGGTGAGTTCCGTTTTATTTATTTCTTTCTAAAAAATACATTTCGTTTTTCAAGTTTTGCAAAACTTTAATTGAACAGATAATAAGAATGAGCACCAGAAAATTTCGAAATTGAAGTCATTTTTGTCATCAAAATAGTTTTTGTGGAGGCATTTAAAAAATCGATACGTTCATTTTGCATTGATTCGTCTTTCTATTTCCGAATTCCCT